CCTGATATGCTTAACATTTCTTTTATTGGCTTATTGCGGTTAGAAAAAAAAATATTTAATCTTTAGACGAAGGCTATGCTCTGTATGACCCTGGACAAAAAGTATGCCCTGTTGTCGTCTCGGGTTAAGACTATGCCCTTCTTTCTAGTCTGGGCGAAAACTATGCCCATTTATCACGTCCAGGTGAAGACTTTACTATACATGGCTGCGACCGTCATAAGTCGCATGCCATCGACTCAAACTGTCTGACCGAGTATCGTATAGTACTTTTCTGCCTCCCCTTGCCGAAAGTACGTTTTCAATTAATAATACCTGTACATACAGTATACGCTAATATGTATAGGTATTAAGGATGTATGCGCAACCAGTGTGAGCTTACGAGCTGACAGCTCGTTGCCCGATTATGCTTGCTGCTGCGCTGCCGTGCATGTGTGTGTTGACTCGCCTTCGGCTCAGCCGTCACAGGGGCGGTGGGCGTCAAAAAGCACATGCACAAGTTAACAAAATGAAAAATGAAGTCATAGGAATAGACACAAAATCACAAAGAAAATAAAATATAACAATTTAAATTTTATTAAACTACGAAAACAAGTTTTCATTTTTGTATTATTTAACATAAATAATGATTTGTTACTTATTAATTACGGAGGATCGCCGTTATATTTTTTTGTTACTTTCTTTGATTTTGTCACTGTACGATATCCTCAACTATCTCGTAGTTCGTAAACACTCAACTCTATAAAAGACTCTTTCTTGCCAAACAGACCGACCAGGAGGTACGTACTTTCGGCTAGGAGAAGAAGAAAACATTATTTTCTCATACTCTTGCCGAAAGTACCATTTTGTTCCCCGTTTTCAAGGAGTGAAGTGCAACATTCCTCCTAGGTAAAAAAAATCGCATGTACTGCTCGTAGGAAAAGTATTTTGATATCCTGTGCACGGTTGGGAGACAATTTTCTTGCAGAAGATGCCAAAATACTTCTAATAAGCAGTAAATGCGATTTTTACCTGAGAGGTTATGTTGCATTTTTCTCCCTGAAATCATAAAAAAAAACGTCGTATTTTCAGCAAAAGAACAGAAAAAATCGTATACGGGTCTTGAGAAGAAAGTGCGGCATCATCTCCTGGGTAATTGCCACGCACCCAGGAGGGAATGCCGTACTTTCTTCCCTTGGTGCGTAATATACTATTAATCAAATAGATGTACTTTTCTCTTCTTATGCCCATTCGCTCAACAACCTTCGGTTTTTTATAAAGCTCTTGTATAAAAGGGATCGAGTAATTCACGAATTGGACAGGCAAGTTTATGGTCTGCTACATAAGTCCAGTTTTTAATTCAAAATCTTTAACTTGAGTGTCAATATCTTACTGGAAGAACAGGTAGAAAATTTTTTTCTTTCGCAGATTTTACGTTACTTACATGTTTTACAGACACATCGTGCGTTTCCAAGTCTTGCCTGTTGAAGCACATGATATTAACGTAACAGAAAGAACAACGAGCTGGTTTTTTATTGTTTAACGTTCGTGCAAAAGCCAATCTCGAAGTAATGGATTCAGCAATCAAGCCAAAACAAAAATACAAAATCTCCTTGCTTTTTTCGGTGGACTGATTTCATTGCTGATTTTTTATTTTCGTTCGGAAGCGCTATTAGACAACATGATAAAAGTTGTACAGCTATAATATTGAAAAAAGGAACTAGAATTTAAACGAAACTGATTTTTATCAATAGTCAAGCCAACTTCCGTACGAACAAACGCAAGTCCTTATACTATGTTTTAAGTCAGCAAATAATTACCTGCGTCCTAAGCACGCAACAAAGTATAAGTATATTTGCAACATTAAAAGTAAACTTAAAATTGCACTGATTTTATTATTCAAGTCTCATCCCTATGATTAACGTACACTAACTGACTTTACACCGACATAAT